CTAGAGTCTCTATCGAATATCCAAATGTGCTCTCGGGCTCTGGTTACTGCCACATAGAGATGTTTTAGTTCGGAAGAAAGTATATAATGTCTTTCGTATGATAAATCTTGCATGCCTCCAGAATATCCTTCTATAGCGGAAAGAATTAACCGCCACTGAAAATGATAGTCAAACTTAATTACTAAGTATATGGTAACTCAAAATAAATATTGTTTCATCATACCTTTTGACCTGCTGGCGAATCCGTAAAAAAATCATATAGAAGAACATCATTAAACTCCATGCCTTTTGCCTCAAAAATTGTCAGAATTAAACCGGCTTTTCCAATAGATTTCACTAATCGTTTTTTGGCTTTCTCGTCACGTACGATAATAACTTGATTGGCACCGAATTCAACGGTATCACCTGGTTTTTCACTAACAGAGAAGCAATTAAAAACGGCAGTTTCATCTTGAAATCCCTTAAAAAATTAGAGGTCGTGGACCACCAACTTCACCGCATTCACGTGGCAACTTGTCAATAGAATTGGGGAAAAAGTGTTGAATGAGATCAATAACAGATGATGCAAGCCCAAGAATTCCGTTGTGAGAACGATAGTTGGTATTTAGTTCAAATTGTTTTGGTTTTAAGGAACCATTCCAATTTGGATTATTTTGAGACCGATCAAGTTCCCATTTGTACATCAAGGAAAGTACACCTACATTATTATAAATTTAGAAAGTTTAGAAAGAAAAAAAAACTAATACAATATCATACTTGAAAAGAAACGGTAAATGTACTTTGAAAGCGAAAAGAGGAGCCTCGAGCAATGCATTGTGCCGTATCTCCGGCCAAGAAAATGCTATCAGCTCGATCAAAAAGCTTAAAAATAAGCGAAAAATCAACAATCTGATTATCTTGACATTCGTCAATATATACTTCGTGGATATGTGGACCACCAAGTGCCTTCCTTTTAGCGCAACGCAAGACAGCTCGTGTTCTGTAATAAAATATGTAATAATATATTTACAAAAAATTTAAGAGAGTAAGAATTTAAGAGTAATTCAAGAGAGTAAGAAGTTTAAGAGTGTAATGTATTACTAGGTCTTACCGATCTATTGAATCATAGTCGTAATTAAGTTTTTTCATTTTTTCATATCGTTCAAACAGGTTATAAATTTCGTCACGGTCGTAAAATATAGGATATTTTTTAGAATTAACGGACAAGTATTCCTCTCTTGATAAATAGTCATCTTTTGGATTTAATCCCTTAAAAAAAATATATGTTAAATGCTAGATAATTATTATGTTTTATATACAAACATATACTTTGACTATATACTTTAATTATAGAGAATTCTGCATAAACCAATGCAGGATCTAATCTTCGCCTATAATGATAACTAAAATGATTCCAATACTTTTTTTCGAAAAGGTCAAAGGTTATAAAATGGGCCCATGACTTTTCAGATGTATCGACCAAAGAGGATTTAAGGTTGTATTCTTCATCCTCATCAACATTATTTGCATTAAATTCCTGCTGTTTTGTCTTCCATAATTTATTGACATCAATTCCATATGATCCTTCGAGCATTTGAGAAAATTTTTCGTAAGTTATAAACAATGGAAAATGTTCATCTGTTAGTTGACGGAACGAGTTTGGGATGTCGCCTAGTATTTTCATTTCATCATCCTCCTCGATCAATGAATTCTCAGGCTGGTTGTTATTGATGTTTTCCTCTTCTTTCTTTTTGGTGTATTCGTAAAATTGAGTAAATGACATTTTTTTCTCCGCGAGAATAGCAGACTCTCGTAATCGATCAAAATATTGTTTTACACGGGTGCACAGAGTAGGACTCACGGTAATGAATATCTGTCTTTTGTTAAAAACATTCTCCTTTATGTCATTGGTGTGTAAAGATGGAGCCTTGTAGAGCTTATGACTAGATTTCATAAGATATGATGCAATCTGTCGAAACACAATACAAGTAGTCTTTCCAGTTCCTATATAATATGTACGTAAAAAAAAATCGATACCGGTATATATTTTTTAGTCACAATATGATCGAAAATTAATACCAATAAAAAAAATGAATAAATAAATGTTAAGCAAAAGATCAAATTATTATCACTATCAACATAAAAGTAGCTATAGTACAATTAACCAATTTTTAAATATGATAGAAAAGATATCTGATGGCAAAAAATTATTTATCCAGGCACAACAAAGTAGCCTATAACAAACATTGAAATTATTCACTTCACAGAATTAAACTAAGTGCGAGAATAAACTAAAACACTAACCGGATCTTCCAACAATAATAGCAGATGTAGGATGTCTGATGATTTTGTATTCATCTTCGGATACTTGGAAAGTGAACCCCGAACCACCAAGAACGATTGATTTGAATAAATTCTAAACAAAAAAATTATAGTATTTAGCAACCTTCATGCATGATAAAATAAAAATATGTTTATTATTACTTTACCTTTGACAAAGGAATAAATTTGTTGGTAACAAGCATTTGGTGTACTTTTATTAACCTTTCATCATCAACTTGATGATCATATAATTTATCATTAGTGGACTTCAACTTCTCACTTCCAAAAGTTTTTGGCAAAATAAGACCATTTTTATTTTTGTTTGTCTTGCATAGTTGTATGTGCTCCATTGTATAAACTTGATGAACGATTGAAAGGTTTTCTAACATTTCACGGATCTGTTCTTGACTTGCAGTGATCGTCCATATTTTCACCACTTGTGCAAGCGAACAACTGCGTGAAGAAAAGCGACAGTCGACTTGCCAAAGAATTTTCAGCCCCTTTTGATCTGGAAGTTCCATTTCATAGACATTTACGGAATTACAATCAACTACCTTATTTCGGAG